TTTTTTTTTCATAATAACATTAAAATGGATCCTAACAACTCTTCCAGTATTAATTCACAAGGCTCCCAAGAGCTTTCTCAAGATATGTCTGATAATAATGTAGTTAGTTCAAGTATGGGTGCTGCCTTTCTTTCTTTGGTTACTAAAAAAAAAACATCAGCAGTTTCACCGTATTTTATCAAAAAACTGAATAGTGATTCTATAGTCACTTGTGTTATTTGTAAAAACGAATATAGCAGTAAAGGCTGGAGTACGATTGAAATTTTTGCACTTATGCAAAATAATCCAGTTTCAATACAAAATTTGACAGCTGATCAAAAAGCACGATTCAATCTTTTATTAGCCGAATGGATTGTTACTGATACATTACCTTTTTCAATCGTCAAAAGCAAAGCATTAATTGCTTTGCTACAATACCTTAATGCTAGTATTGAATTGCTTTCACGTGAAACTATTAAGTCAATCGTACAAAGTTCTTTTATTTCAATGAGAAATGATGTTCAAATTCTTCTTGGACAAATTTCCAATAAAATTTCAATAATATTGGATCTTTGGACTTCCTGCGCAAACATGTCTTTTCTTAGTGTAACTGGGCACTAGATTGATAACAACTAGAATCTTAAAAAAAATTTAATTGACATGTGTATGTTGCCACATCCACATACAGGGATAGATATTGAAACACAATTAATATCCATTTTAACTACTTTTAATATTACTACGAAGATTTTTTGTGCAACGACCGACAATGGATCTAATGTCATTTCAGCAATTTATCGATTAAATATACATTTATCTATACAAAATCTTCGGTTTTATTCACACCATTGTCTTGCACATGTTTTGCACCTTGTAATTACTGCGGGAATGGCACAAATTAAAACATCAATTGAAAAAGTATGTAAATTTATGAGAGCTATTACATCATCATCTACAATAACTCAAGATTTCAAAGAGATTGGCCAGTCCGTCGGTGAAGGTGAAATAGTTCGAAAAATTCTACAGGATGTTTCAACCAGATGGAATAGTACTTACCTCATACTATCAGTTTATATATCTATGCCTACTACGATAGCAGCTATTATTAGACGTCACAGTAATCTTGACCAATACAAGCTTACTCAACAAGAAGATTTTAATCTTCAAGTTGTAACTCAATTTTTGCGACCATTCTATAAGACTACAAATATACTATCCGGTAGCACATATGTAATATTGGGCCTTTCAATTTTATTAATTTCTGATATTATCGATGTTATTACAACATGTATTCAAGATTCATCAAGCCCAGCATTTCTTAAAAGCGCTGCAACACAAATGTTAGAAAAACTTAGTCAATATATAGTTTATATGTATGACGAAGCAGCCTTTATATCTTCAATTCTCGACCCTCGAATTAAACTTGAATTGAGAAAATCAAGACCTTTTTAATAATATTTTTCAGGAGTATTCAGTATCAGCATTAAATAATTCTTCTACTGTTACGGATTCAAATGCTGAAATAAACTCAACAACGTATGTAGAACAAGTTGCACAAAAACGACGGCGAATTAATATTTTAAATGGCCCATTTGATGAGCTTACGCAATATCTAAATGAGGCTACTTTACCAATAAATATCAACCCCTTAGAATGGTGGAAACTTAATAGTTTTCGTTTTCCGGGTATGTCTCGAATGGCCAAAGATTTTCTCACAATGCAGGCTACGTCAGTGCCTTCTGAACAAATATTTTCAAAGGCAGGTAACACTATTCGGGCTAAACGTGTACGTCTTTCTGAAAAAAGCGTACAAGCACTAATGTGTACTGGCTCATGGTTGGAACATGGCATTAGGTTTCAAAGAGATTAATTTTTTTTCATTTAAATTATTTTTTTAAAGTTTTTTTTTTCTTTTAAAAAAATTATTTTTTTAAAAGTTTTTTTTTTCTTTAAAAAAATTTTTAAATATATGTTCTTATATTATGTTTCTATATGCTTGCAAATTATGAATACAGAACTATTTGTAATATATATTAATGCTAAAGCTTGCAAATTATGAATTACAGAAATATTTGTACATATCAATGTATATATTAATGCTGAAATAAATGAAATAATATCTATAATAATGAAATAACAATAAACTTGGAAAAATTGGAGCTGCGGCTCTTGATCGGCTAGCTGCAAACCGTTCTGGCTAAAAAACAGCTCGGGTAAAAATCGGCTAGCTACAAAACGGTTCAGCTAAAAATCGGCTCAACTAAAAATCAGCTCAGCTCCAATTATAGTGAGCCGTAGCCGAGCCGAAACCAGCCGTTTGCATCACTACTATGGGGTACTATTTGCAAATTATAGTAATTCACAGGTTTCACCCTTGTCAAAGTCTTTATTATAATTTTTTACGCTATATATTAACCCTGGCAATAACTTTGCTTAACGTTAAAGAGCATTGTGTTTTAACTTAAGCTTAATACGAAAAAAGCTAAAAATGTAAATTCGTCGATTTGTGTAATGTACGTATAAAAATCATAAGATTACGTACAAATGCGCTAATTGTATCACATCCATCGTTTTGTCGTTAATTAAATTTCAGATAATCTTGAACTACGTGATACAGTATTTGTGCAGTATATACAGCAGTGTTGTTTATTTGTAATTGTCACATTCATTTATTATATTATTTATACTAAATAATAACGCGACAATTACCAATGCAGCAATGAACAAAACGTTTAGCAGCGTTAATACAGCATATGATCCTTTTTGTTTGCCATATCCCATGTTCATGGTTATAAACCTCAGCAATAGTAACCACTCTACGGCTGTTCTCAAGATGCTGCTGATTAATCAAAGTAATCCTTGTAACAATTTTGCTGAAAATTCATCATACGAAATACGGATCTAACTCAGAACAGCTTTGAAGAAAAAAGATGGTTGTTAATCCAGGTTTTTTTGACCGAATGATTAAATACGATCTATTTTTTAGCCAATCAGAACATTTTATCGGTGTCAATATCATAATATCATATGATATGCTTGCATGATATAGCATCATAATTCATATGCCATATGATTATAAAATCATGCCATATGATATAAAATCATGTCATATTATTATTATATGACATATCATATGATATTGTGATATACAATTCATATAAGTCATATGAGTCATACGACATCATTGTCCACCATAGAGAAAGGAATGCTTAGTGGAGAATTGAGTAGTGTTAGTGTGTAGGAATATAACGGTTATTTTATGAAATGTTAAATAGGTTGTTTGTATATCGTATGAAACTTATTATGTAGCTTGTCTTCCCGACGGACCAACAGGTTTTATACATTTATACTGTAACAAAATTTTCTTACAAATACATAAATGCAGAGTCGTCCATATAAACCTATAATGGCATCAATGTCTAAACTATCACAATAAACAAATAATCATTCCTCCCTAAAGACACCTGTACTGTTTGGACAAAAAAAATAACGCGCATCATGCGAATCCATTCGGAAATTGGAGACCTACAAAGTTACGATATGTTCGAAAAGAACCAACTGGATTGTTTTCTTTTTCATTTATTCAAATTGTTCAAGAATTTATTTAATAACCTTAAATCTAATTACACTTCGGACCTTTCATCTCCAGTGCTACTCGTTAAATAAAAACAATGTCCTTTCAAAAACAATGGCAGCCGAACAAGGAGCTAAATTCCGCAAGGAATTTTTTTGTTAGAACGACAAAGGAGACAAATTTCATTAATTTGAAAAAGGCAATCACATAGATTTTAGCCAATCACATTTCAAGTTAATATTAACGTAATGTCGTAAGCAGGCGTAGCCAACTAAGCCTATACTTGCTGATAAAACTATCGCTATCGCTACGTATTGAGATGTTTGCTCTTAAAAAATCCATTCCTTAACGTTAAGGATAGAAGTTACATGAACCAAATATGCAAAGTATATTGTCTTAACGAGTCCTTAACGTTAACAGTTAAGGGTAGAAGTTACATGAACCACTGGGGAGCTCGGTGTATTATATAAATCAAAACTATATGTGGTGTCATAGAAAAGTCTATTATGACAGATTTTTAAGT